ATATTTTGGGGGACCCCCTCCTCCCTCAAACATAACGTTATTTATGGATGCCTCTAAGTTGAGTGGAAGTTTATTGTAGTGGGAGGGTAATTGAGGAAGTTTGGCAAAGTATGTATTAGAGAGCTCTAAGAATTTGTAAATTTTTCTTTTATTATAGCTCTGGTATGTGATCATATTTTGATAGGGAGTTGAAAGAGTAGGATTTCCTGAACCTCATGGAATATCTTCTCTGATATGTCTAGTAATAGGATGAGCTTATTTTCAAGTGCTTTATTGATTTAGCTCTAATTTCTCTAGGGGTTTGCTTACTAGTGTTTTTGATCTTTAGAAAACCTCTGGTATACTGAATAGCACTGCATATACCCCTGCATGTAGTTTTATTGAAGTTGAGATTTGAAAGGTACTGGGTTATAAGCCACTTTCTGAGCATTGTATGAATAGTATCAAAAGTAGCTATATTAGTAAGTGTGATCTCATGATCATGTTTATATGCTGTTATGGCCCTGTTGAAAATCTTATTGTATTCTTTTTGATATGCAGAGGTGGTCTTGGGGTTACGTGTGAAGATAGTAAAGAATCTGGTATTCTGGTGAGTAAACTTAAGAGCAATTGCTTTAGGGAGCTTGTGTTGTATTGGAGTAGTGACAAGCTTATGGCTAGTAAGTTCGTAAATGCTTTCGGGAGTTTCAAGGGCTTTAGTAATTTTTTTAACAGTCCAATGGTCGGTATCAAAGAGTGTATTGTAGTTTTGAGATATACTTCATCAGCTCATACTATTTCATCTTCCGGGGCCTCTGTTTTGAGCAGGTTAAGGTTTATTTGGGTAACTTGGCTATATGTAGGTTTTGTAGCAGTTGTTGATGTACTAGCTTGTTTATCAGTAGATATAGCAGTATTGTTAGATAGAGCTTTGGTAGCTTTGTGAGGAGTTATAGCAAGTGGAGAAATATTAGATAAATCTCTTGGTCTTTTGCAGTTAGCTCTAAGGTTGGGGACTACTGGGGTGTAGTTAGAACCAGATGCAGAGAATATAGGCTGAGTAATTTACTTGGTAGGTGTACTAGGCCTGTATACTGTATTGGTGTTAGGTGTTTGTTTGAGGTGATACAAGATTTGTAGTATTGTTGCTTGTACTGGTGTCTGTATAATCTGTATTTGTGTCTTGAAGAGAGCTAGAATTGGTATTAGTAACTGCATATACAATTTGCTTATTGTAGCTTCTATTGGACTTATTATCTAAATCAAGATTTGTAATTATATTGTATGAGATTGAGGCTAAGTTTTTGTACCTTTGGCTTTCAAATAATAGATTTGTAATTGTTACAAGATCGCTATTCTGAATATGTTCTGGATGTTTGGTGCTGATATTAACAACATTGCTTTTTTGTGATGTAAGGTCAAACAAAACTGATTGGGCAAGATTTTTATATCTGCATAACCATTGTGAAGGGTAGTTAGTCAAGTTGGGAATCTTTTCAGATTTGGTAATATCGACATAGAAGACAAAAAAGTCAGCGTATTCAGGAACAGAGAAGCTAACAAAAATATAATCTTTAATAGTAATGTGTAAAAATTTTTTGGTGTGTTCTATACTAGAATCTAGTGATAGGCTAATAGTAGGAGTATCTTCAGTTAAAGCAGCCTTGGTGTTCTGAAAAAAAATATTCCAGTAGGAAAAAGAGCTTTCAGAGGTCATATTTTTGACAGAGTCTTGGGGCTTACTATGATATGAAACTTGTAACTGTTAACTATTTTTGCTTAAAGAACTATCAGTAATACCTTTTTGATTATATGAAAGTTGAGGGTTCTTAAGACTACTTTTGTGGAAGTATTGAAAAACTGCTTTTTTGCTATTCTGGGTGTTTATTGCAATTAACTTGTTGTAGTGAGGTTTTTTAACAAAATTCGCATCTCCTTTAAGTAGTTTATGGGGTACTGGATAACTTTACTTAAGAGCCAGATACCAATTTACTTAGTAAGTTTTCGAGAAAACATTGCGGTAAAATTTTCTTCTTGTTTCTAATTTGGTAAAGTGATCTATGGGAAGAGTTATATTTTATTATTATAGCTTCTATGGAATTGGTATAGAAAAAAGAATAACAGTTTTAGATTTTCTGCAGTATATATACATACATATTTAGTAAGTATTCCAAGATTACTATTATTGCCTTTGTGGAATTGGTGGGAGAAAAGAATACTGATTTTAGACCTCATAAAATAGAGAATCAATTGTTATTGTTTCTATAGAACTGGTGTGAGAAAAGAATTATGAACAGTTTTTGCTATACATATATATATATAATTGTATTAGTAAGTATTTCAAAGTTCTTAACACCCAAATTTTACTGTTAAATACTTGCTAAATTATTGAATCTCCTATCTGTTAAATACTTGCTAAATCATTGAATCTCCTATCAATAAAATTGTATATTGTAAGTACTATTATAATAGTTATTATAGTTATTATTATACTGTAATTTATTGAGAACAATATCATTTTATCTTGTAGAATAAAAATTATTTTAGTTCATTGAGATCTTGTAAGTATATTATGAGCATGCATTTTCAATATTCAGTTAAATTTTTTACAGAATTCAAAGAATATCTAATTAATCAAGGACCTTGAAATATCAGATAAATGATGAGTAACAAAAATTTAGATGATATAGTATTAGAGTCTGAGGATATTGATTTGGATATTGACTTATATGAGCCTGAGAATATTGATGGGACTGGAAATATTGACTTAGACGAGCCTGAAAATATTGATAAGATTAAAGATATTGATTTGGATAAGTCAGAATCTAATAATACAGACAGTAACAATAATAATGAAGGGTCCTCTATGTTATTACAAGCCGTCAGTCAATTTTTAGTTAAAAAACAAAAAAATATTAAAAATCCAGATAGTAGTCCTGTAAATTTTTTTTATAAGGCAAGATTAGTTAATAATTTAGAATTTTGGTTTTGTCATTATAAAGTTTGTATTCCATGGATAAAATATTTAAGAGATGGTTTTACTTCTAATTTATGGTGTTACAAAATAAGCATCATATTTCACAAGCTATGGTGAAAAGTGGTCATGTAAAGGTTGTATTAAAGGGTAATAATAGTTGTAAATTTTTTGTAATGTCTGAATCCTTACAATTAACAATAACTCAAACATTTAGCAAAGTAAAAAAATATGAGTTTAATAACCCAAACAAAAAAAACTTGATAATAATGTAGCTGTTTTTATTATTGAAGAACTTCAACCATTTTCATTAATCCAATAACATGCATTTAAAAGAATAATTGATGGACTTGAAGCTCAGACTAATGTACTTAGTAACGATCATCTAAAGAAATTCTTATTAATTCATAGAATAAAATTTTGCAAGACCTTCATGAGTATGCACTTGATAGTGCTGAAATTAGTTATGTTTCCTTTACTACTGATATGTGGATATCAAATAATGGTGACCATATATTGGTTTTACCCTATATTGGATCAATGATAGTTTTTAAATGAAAGAAATGACTGATAATATTTCATATCTTCCATATCCCCATATCTCTAACCATCTTTTAAATAAAATTGTAAAAATTTAAATAATCTTTGACTTAAGTATATAACCGTTAGTAGCATAATTGATAACAGAGCTAATATAAAATTAGGTTTAGAAAAATTAGAATGAAAATATGGCATTTTTAAAATTTATTGTTTTGGTTATACTTTACAACTTGCAATTAATGATGCATTAAAGAAATGTTCTAAAATCACTAACTTGATAAAAAGGTGTAAGGATGTCGTATCACATTTTAGCGGAAGTTTGAGGCAAAAGTAATTTCTTTTGAAAGCTCAAATGGAGATAGAAGATTAGAATAATTTTCTTTTTGTAGATTGTGACATCTTGACAAGGTGGAATTCAGCATTTTATTTATTAAAACAGTTAACGATCCTTAAACCAGCAATGTATAGATATAAGTCATTTTTAGCCGAAATGAATGATAATAATTCACTGTAAAGTTATGAGGAAAAGGAATTGTCATCAAATAAATAGGAAAAAATAGATGAGTTAGTCAAATTTTTGTATCCTTATGAAGTTATTACAAAAAAATTGTCCGGTTCACAGTATTCAACACTTTTTTAAGCATGGTTTGCAATTAATTTTATTAAACAAAACTTGATTGCACAATGGTAAATAGTATCGATGTTCAGAAATTTGGAAGTCTTCTTCATAAATCACTTCAGGAACGATTTTTAGAACCAACAAAGCCAATTTGACTTGCTGCTTTTTTTGACCCATGAACTAAAGACATGCAAATTTTTTTAGAGAATGAGAGACAACAGACTATTTCAGAAGCACATATAGAATATCTTGAACTATTATAAAGCAGAAGATTCAGAACCTAGTAATATAATGCATAATGAAGATATCTTTCCAATCCTGTGGTTCAAGAGTGTTCAGATCAAAATGATGACAATATTACTAACTGTGAATTTAATTCATATTTATTACTGCCAAGGGTCCCAAGCAAAACAGACATACTTCAGTGGTGGGCATCAAGAAAATCTGATTATCCTATACTTGTAAAACTTGCTCGCAAGTATCTTTCTATCCCAGCCACTTCGGTACCATCTGAATGCCTTTTTTCATCAGCCGGTCTTACTATTACTGAAAAAAGATCATGCCTTAATTCTCAATTTGTTGAGTCGATTTTGATTCTTAAGTCGGCTCTAAAGTTTTGGCCTGTTTCACATGTTTTTAATTAGGTAATAAAAGTTTATTTTTAAATGGTTTAAAATAATTGAATTTAGCAAATTAACAGATAGTTATTGAATTAGCAAATAGTTCCGGATTTAAGTCAGGTACTTAATGATCAAAAAGAAAGTGAAGCACTTGCGGATCTAAATAAATCATTAAAATTGAACGATGCTTTTTAAATTCAAGAGAAAACATATAACATAAAAAAAATAATAATAATGACATATATAGTTTAAAATTCATGCGTTTGCATTAAGAATGATAAGAATGAGGGAGGGAACTTACTGTTTGATGAGCAGATAAGGGAATCACCTGAACATTTAAATAAAGCATTAAATCAATATTGTAAACACAAATATTATTTTAAAGAAAATAAATACTATCGTTAAAGAAATAAATCGGGTTAGAATTTTCAGATTGCTGATATTCGAATAAAAATGTACTAAATAAAAAAAGCGTTCTATTTATGGCGGTTTGCAAAAAGGTGATTTTAATAGTAATAGTAATAGCGGAAAATTTTCTGACCCTACAACGTGATTAATACATAATTTAGGTAAATTTACTTTAAATTCTGACCCGTTTGACCCGGGTCAAACTGATTTTCGACCCGTGACCCGGGTAATAGCTCTAGTTTCTGGTGTCTGTACTTACATAATTAAATATGCAATATACTATAAGCAATATTGTAAATTATACAATATAGATACCATGTCAACTAACAAACCTAATATGGTTTTTAAAACTTTTAAATATCCAATAGTTAATTTTTTTTTTTAAGACCAAATAAAACATTGCAATAATTTTGCTACAAAAAAACATCTATAAGCAATAGAGTTATATATTAGCCATTATTTAAAAAGAGTGAAAATATCAATTTTACTATAAATAATATTTAAAAAATAATATTATATAAAAATTATAATATTTAACCTTAAAAAAAAATAATGTTATATAAAAAAATATTTATATTTTATTTTCAAAATTTTAAATTTAAATTGTTATATACTCAAAAAAAATTTTAAATTTACAAATTTATGTTCTCAAATGAGAACATAATCTTTAAATAATGTTTTCAAAAATGATTTAATGTTCATAGAAACTACTCATATTCAACAGTTTCAATAGGTATACTAGTTAAAGCTGCTAAAAATAGCATAATTCTATTATTAGTTTTAATTGATTGAATAATACTATTAATTTTAAATAATTACCTTTATTAATAATTGCACTAGATTTTCTTCGAGTGTCGATAACTTTGCTAGTATACATAGAATCAGGATGTTTTGGTAAAATAGTTGGCAATTCTTTGACTATTTTGTCTGCATTTGAGAAATCCTTTTTGATTTCATCTGAATCACCGGGGTCCCTAATTCTTTCTGTCCATTCGCTAAGCGTATCTAAAATGTCACTAGTAGCAGGCCGTTTTTGTGGATCAGAATCCATACAACGCTTAGCTAATTCAATATAACAATCCGGAGTTCCTGAAGCAAATTTAGGCTGCAATTTTCCTTCAATAATTTTAAATGCAAGACCTTCAAATGGCTCACCATCAAAAGGCCTTTGACCAGTTGATATCTCCGCCATAATAACGCCGAAACCATAGATATCTGCTGCTTGTGTAGCCTTTTTTCCTAATAAAACTTCTGGAGCAACATAGGGCAGGACTCCATAAACTTCATCTTTTGAAATATCATCACTTTTTTTTGAATCATCATCCTTTTTTTCTCTTGATAATCCAAGATCTGCTATGTATGATTTTATATTTCCATCGAGATTTTGGTCTAATAAAATATTACCACTGTGAAAGTCACTATGTGTGAATTCTGCTTTGTGAATTAGATGTAAATCCTTTGATATATGTTTAAGTTGTTCCAATTTCTTTTGCCATATAAGTTCGCTGAAATTTTGTGTTAAAAATTCATGAAGATTTCCCCTATTAGCGTATTGAAATACCATTAAGTAATCACCATTGTTGTTGTTTTCTATGTCTTGAGTCAATCCGTATATTTCAAGTTCAGTACCCTCTATTCTACACTTCATGTGGTTTTTAAACTTAAAATTTCAAAAATGTATAATTAAAATTTGTATACAATAAATTTACAATCAAATAAATAACATTCTTACCTCTTCTAAAAAATTAGACGCGTCATTTCTAGGACCAGGTAAAGTTTTAAGTGCAGCAACATAAGGTATTCTACGTGATCGTTTATAAAATTTATCACTTTTCTCGCCCCTCTCGACCTTCTCGACTATTCGCTTACCATCGAACCAAATTGCCAAATATACTTTACCAAATCCTCCTTCACCGATTTTTTTAACCTTAGATAATCTTTCAAATGGAATCCATTCAATTACTTTTTCATATGCCGTAGCTTTAAGTTGAAATTCCTTGATGCAATTATCAATCTTATCGTTTCCACTTAATGGTTTATTTTGAGTTACCTCCTTGAAAGGATCGCACGATTGACACCATGCTGGATTGGTATTAGGTCGCTTACATTGTCCACACTCTCCATAGTTGATATTTCTTCGGTTGTAATAATAATCAAGAACAATCATGTATTGTTCAGTTTTATCGGTTTCATCTCGAGTTATTCCATATATTTTATAATTCTCCTGCATCATTTTATAAAGCTTGCAAGATATATATGTCGTTTTAGTAGTCTTATATCATTCTGTGCTGTAAATTAATAACATAATTAACAATTGAACTTACTTTATTTATGACGTCTGAAGTTTCAGGACTGTGTAATTTTATGAGATCTACGCGTGATTCAGTTTGTGACCTTCTATATTTTCCAGATTCATCTTTAATAATTGTTCGAATATTCCAAATTGCCATAAAAAAATCCAATTTCTCTTCAATTTCGTGTAAATTATTTCCATCGACTGGAACCCAATCAATCTTTTTAGGTTCAATCTTTTCAGGTTCTACTGAATCAATCTTTTCAGGTTGAGTTAATTCAATCTTTTTAGATCTTGTCAAATTATTGTATGGAATCCATTCAATAACCTCATCATATGTTTTGGCTTCACGTTGAAATTTTTTGATGGCTTCATCAATAACATTATTATTACTTGTCCAGTTTTGTGTTTCTTTTTCAGTATCACAACGTTCGCACCAAACTCGAGAAGTATTGTATCGTTTACATTCTTTACATTTTCCATAAAAACGATTCCTTTTATGATAAAGACTTGTATTAGTTAATTCGTCTTTGTAAGGTTTAAACTTGTGAAAATTGAAGAGTAAAATGTATTAGCAGCAATATTAACCTTTAAATTCGTATGTAATGGTTAGAAATGCCCGATTTTTTAATTATGAATCTCTACAATGTTGATTCTATAAACAAGTATTAATTGACTCACCTCCTATTAAATGTACGTAATTGGTTAAATCTTGAGTAAATGTTTATTTTGCAATGAAATTTTATACTCACAAGCTAGGAATATTAATATTTGCGCAATTGATTAGAAGATATAATTACTTATTACTGTAAATGCCAATTTTATAAATCAAACTTTAATGCTTACTCCCTTTAATGCATGTATAATTTATTATGATAAAGTAAGTCAGAATATAACATTTAATAATAAATGACTAATATAAATTTTGTGCTAACCTCCTAATGATTATTTGATTTGAATGACAAAATTAATGTAGTGGCAAATGCTGGTTTTAATAAACAACGAAATAATAAATTTTTATGCTCACTGAAAAATATTCAACACTGCTCTTTTGTACCCGCATCCAATTATTATTATGAAAATCTTAACGCAAGAGGTAACTAATAAGAGAAGTGGCACTATGCTATATAGCATAACAGATTTGTAATAAATGACCTTAAAAATAATTAATTAGTAAAAACTAAATAGTTTCACAAATAAATTTAATAATGAATTCTTACTTGAATAACGATCTGTGGAATATTCCTAATAAAAATGTCAAAAAACGCTCCACATATGATCGCGAGTCTAAATATCTGCCTAAATATATTAATTTGTCTGATTTCATCGGGTCTAGGTACATTTTCCAAAATTGTCAAATACTCATAATTATTTTTTTCTTCTTTTTTTTGGAAATTAAGATTATCAGCATTTTCTTTATCAGATTCGGGCACATCTTTCATAATTGCCATATACTTATAATCAATTGTTACTTCATTAAATATGGGTATAACTTTTAAAATTGTCAGATAAACATAGTCAGTTGCTGCTAATATAGCGATAATAGCCACTAAGCCTCTATTACGACCAAACCATTCTTTGAATACAGGATTGTTAATTCCCTTGTAAACAGTATAAGTAGCTATACAGAAGTTTATGAGCAACGAAACACTAAACAAGAGCGCACTTACGTGTTTGGTTTGTTATGGCAAGAATTAAAATGAGGTAAAGAGATATTTAATACTAGTTTAATCATATCTGATAAGAAATACCTTGGCAAGTAAAGCTCTGGCACATCGTTGGAATAATATGCAACGAAGAAAATCGAAAGAATAAAATTTGTGACGACAAGTCCGAGCTTTAATATTGTGGAACTTATTACTTCAAATTTTTTTGATTCTAACTTTTTTAAACAAAATTTTTTAATATTCATGATGAAAAGTTTTCAATAGAATATCTGGCAAAATAAGATCACCTTATAACTAAGTATATGAGACAATAAGCAGAGTGTAATGAAAATGGCAACCCCAGCAATTATTTGTACATAGAATACATTCCATGCATTCAGTGGAAAATCTATGATATGAAAATTAGTAGCGAAATTAAACTTTGACAACATCTTTGGCGTGATCATTAACTCACTATTTGGTTGAAAGCCAAAAAACTGATCTAAGTCATTTGTCAAACCAGTGGAAAATGTAGTAATTTCCTTGTAATTAATCATAGTATTTAAATTTGATACCACTGCTGAAACAGAATTTTCTTCTAGTCCTGAAATTGGTAAATCTACGAAGATATTAAGAACAAGTTGTTTATAAAACAGGGGGTTTCCAAAGATTCCAAATATAGTTAGACGATCACGTCTAACTGGTAATTTTTTAGAAATATCTTGTAGTAAATTGTTTAAATATTTTGTTTGGTTATTCTTAGAGAGCGTTGGAAATAGATATGATGCATTCAAAGTAAGTCGGACAAAACCGAAAGTACCTTCCTCTGTAAAGTGTATGAATAATTAAGCACATTAAATTTAAAGCTGTGAGGAATCTTATTATATTACCTGAGGATCTCGCTTTATATGCTAATGAAATAAAACGTACAAAATGATATTATTAATTTAGGGATATAAATAAATACAAATAAACAAGAGCAAGATAAAATGAAGAATATTACTAGAATTACTAGAAATGTAGTTTACAATTCCTTCATCAATTCCTTTTAAGGGTTCATTGTAAACTCTACTTCTGACAAAATCAGCGTCCATTTGTACGTAATATTTTTCGTCGTATTCATTAAATGTGCTGCTAATGATCTTTATGTTGATAGTCTTATTATTTATGGCTTTACAGTAATCAATCATTGTTGCCAAAATTTTTTGTCTAATGGTCTTATCAGAAGCTTTATAGATGGTGATAGCGCCAGTTGATAAAATAATAGGGTCATAAAAAGTAATGTTTAAAGAAGTTGTTGATGAATCGACAACACTATTGATAGATGGGTTAATTTGGTCTATTTGAAGATTACCATAACCGTGATCTAAATAGACAGATGTTTTTAGCATCATAAAATATTAAATATTTTATAAAGACAGGCTTTATGTAAAATAAACACACACCACGATATTCTAAAACTTTAGGCAATGGGATATAAGTTAAAGACCAAGAAGTTCTGTTATAATTTGTGACGTTTGTTGGGAGTAAAAAAGTATTATTATTGTTCATGATAGCAGTTGCACCGAATAGATAATGTGTAGAAAAATTGGTTATAGGAACAGTTTGGTTTGACGATATTGTTGAAACCAGAGGCGTTTGAAAGTTATATTCGTCATAAGCATAGATATATGTAGTACCGTTGATATCATAATTATGTAATATGTAGCCACCGAATGGCATCGAGTTCACCACCCAATTTATTGAGGTTATAGTAGTGACGTTAGGTAGGTCGGATAATCCATCTACTTTTAACACTGATCCAGACGTTAAGAAGTAAATTCTTATATATTCTGTTGTGCTGCTATTTACTATGGTGTTATTGAAAGAGATTACGCAAACATGACCAACACCAATAGAAACTATGTCACAATAAATTCCATTAAAAGTTACATTATTGGTTAATGTATAGAGAAGAATCGTTCTATCTTGAGATGTATTTTTATATGCTATGAAATTAGCGTATACCGAGCCACGTATGAAAAATGGATTATTGTCAATTACATTGGTAGAATAAGCATAGATTAAAGCATAGCCACCATCAATAGTGGCCATTGACGTGAAAGTAAAGCTTGTAAGGTTTCCATCTTCAATTTGTTGTGGTGGAAACCCAAATTTTTGCAGCATTGATAATTTTCCAGAATCATCACTATATAATTACAAAGAAAAATTATTATTAAAATTATTATCATAAATAATTGAAAAAAACGATGATACAATGATAATGTTAAGAAGGTTAAATTACATTGAATATTGTTGCCACTCATACGAAAAAATATTATTTTTGTATGCTAAATTTACTCTAAGAAATCCTAATTTCTTATTTATGTTTAATCGAATTGTACTTTGACTATACGGATCCCAATAATTATCTTTAACAAAAGACGGACCAAAAAAAGTTTTACTAAAAAATATAGGTTAAAATTAATACTCTTCAAAATAAATTAAATTTACAAGTTAATCATGGTCATACCTTAGAACTTTGCTGTTCCAATCAATAACCATCCCCCAATCTTCATAAGTTTTAGGATCAGATGAATTTGTACTATTCACATAAGTTACCAAGATAAACTGTTTTTGCAAAGCGTATATTTTAATAGGAACCCAGGCGCCAATCGTACAATAATTAAGAGGATCTAATTTTAAGTCGGCATTGTTGATATTAATCTCTTTAACAGATCCATCCAATTGAATAACTCTTATACGTAATATCTGTTCTAATCCACGACTATAACTTGCTCTCAAATAATTCGAACAACTTGCGCTTAATGTTTCGTCGTATCGTGTAATACGGGCGAGAATTGTTCCATCATCATAAGTTTGAAGGTTTGTTACAAAAGGCCGATTATCAAGTGCTGTAGTTGTTAAATTTGTTTCTGTATAGTTAAAAGAAGTAATCTGTGATTTTGTTGATGCTATAAGAGCATAAAGGGAGATTAAAAATAGACGTTGTGCTATAATGTTATAAGTAAGGCTAAATAATTTCATCATGGATTTTATTACTTTATTATTTAGAACTTTTACGTAACATACAAAGAACATTAAATGTTAGAAAAATGAAAGTACTTTGTGTCATTTTATAATTTATTAATAAGAGGCAATTGTATTTACTAGTATATACCACTTTCTTTTAATTATTGTAAATTATACCTGGTACAGTACACCCTCTATCCAGTTTTAAAATTCGTTATGCATATATATTGTTATCTGTACAAAAATAAAATATCATTCCTGTATAAAAAAAATTTATTTTTTTTTGTACAGCATGCAGAATTTTTACTTTTTCAATTAGATTATCGGAATAATTTGTGTAAAGATTTTATTGTTTATTGCTATTTCTACTAATCTGATAGAAAAAGGAGGGTTGCTTATTTTTGAGTTTACGATATTTAAATTTTAAATTCACCTCAAAATATAGGGGCCTTAGAAATATTCAATGTATTTGCAAAGCTAAAAACTTGCATACAGTATTTGTTTACGCACGTACTGTACGTACCAAATTAGTATGTACAGTACATACATAGTACTTATACGTATCGATATGGGCTAATTGGCGTATATTGGGCCACCGGTCATTATAAGCAAACAAAGTATTAATAGCGGTGTTTAGAAATGGTTGTATACACGTTAATTGTAAACATTTATATGTATATTATTGCGAAAAAAAAAATTATATACACACATAAAATCTAAATTAAAGTAATTATTACGAAACAAAATTAATGTATTGTAAAATTATCATATACTTTTTTTTCGAATTCCTGGTATAGTCAATAGTTTATCCGGGGTATGATCGACTTGCTATTGATAATTCCCTAAATTATCGGCTTCAAAAAAGTGAAGATAATAAGCATTCCACAAGGTTGATGGGCATACACAACAATATATTGTATCGTATCTAATTGGCTGATTATGTAGAAAATAATCGATAGATGCAGAAATTGAGCAATATCTTCGGAAAGATTTGAATATATTAATTTTTTAATTTTGGGCATGCCTGTGGGTACAACTATTACAACTATGGGCACGAGATATTCAAAATACATGTTGGAACGAAATTTAAATTATTGAGCTTTGCTAAAATTCCACTGGTGTTGATCGTTACCGATCAAACTAAAATTAAAGAAAAGAACTACTACAGTGCTATAATAAAGAATATTCCGATGACCATAGATGGCATATATGACCTGTCATAGGTCATTTGAACATAACGAAGGTTTGATATGACTTTTGACTTTTTAATATAGTAATAATATTAAAAATCGGCGAACACTGGCCTGCTCTAACTCTAACCCAATCTCGGATTTATAAATAGAGCGGTGATAATTACCGCCAGTGGTCTTTATAATTTATATTTCTAATTTATTTTATATAATTTTATATATTCCTTAACTTAAAATCATGGTTTTTTTCTTTAACCCGGAGTTGTCATAATTGAAATTATGAAATTATGATGCATGACAATAAATAATGATAATTACTATTTCAGCCAATGCTTTATTTCATATACCTAAAAATATTGTAGCACGCATCAATTTCATATTAATTATGTCTTGCCATACTCAAATTTTTTGTTCCATTTTTTCCGATTCCTTTTTTGTAATACGTATCATTACCAAAAAACTAAAATAGCATCAAGTTCTAAAATTGGTTCGAAATGTTCGCGTATGTAAACAATAAAATCTTCTTAGAAATAAAATAGAACTAATTCCTTTGTTTAGTTATATGAATAATGTAACTGAATGATATTGCAATTGAGTCATCCTTCTTCGCAAATAGGTGTCGTTCATGGTCATTTTCTTTGATCAGGAAATCTACGCCTTCTTCTTTTTTTTTTTTGGAATTATTATTTTTGCACCATAATGAGAAATATTTATATAAACAGGCCTTTATTTTCCATTTTTCTTCATCAAAATTTACTTCGATCTAAATTAAATTTTGAGAATTATCCCCACTAAAAAACTCTCTAAGCTCCCTCTAAAAATAAAAAATGAATATGAAAAATTACATACTTCGTTCTTGTATTAGTCATTACTATCAAAAAGTCAATTGCTGCAAGAATTTCTCAAAATTCTCAAAGAGATATTAACTCTTTGCTTAAACATAGCCATGAGAAACATGAGAAACATGAGAAAAATATTTTATAATTATGTCGTTGCAACAGCAGAATTTGACAAAAGACGATCATAGTGATAGAACCTTTGTCAATGGCCTTTTCTCAAGAGGCTTTGATGATCCAAAGAAAAATCATTATGGTCTCATTCTCAAAGATTGCAATAGCAATGTTGCCTATAATTTGACAGATGAATAATGGTGGTACTAAACCATTTCAAGATCATATTCACTTTGACCTTTTCAGTAAAGATAAGCAAAAACGTCTAAATACAATCTATTTTTACTATTACAATTAATGATCAGCATCGACGAGCACGAGTCTTTTATCTACAACCTTTTTTTATAATTTAATAGGAAAATAGCTGTTTTCTTGACTAATTTGTTTGGATTATGTTCTTCATATAGTTTTAATTCATCTTATTTTTAAACTCAGTTTATTAACTCACAAAATTATTTCTATCATTGATAAAGTGAAATTCATAGTAATAATGCTAAATAAATTATTTTAGTCTCAAATCATGTTTATTAAATTTTTTTTTAGTCAAAAGCATATTTATTAAATTTTTTTTTAGTCAAAAAGCATATTTATTAAATTTTTTTTCTAATAAAAAAGTTACTTGTTTTATTAACTAATATAGTTCATTTTTTTTATTTCATATTTTGTCTGGAATAAAATGAAAGACCTTTAATTAGCAATCCGCATAAGAACGATAGTATTCTTTTATAGTAACAATAGTGAAAATTACTATGCTTTTTATATAAGTTTGAAAGTTTTTTTTCTTATTCATTAAGAAAATTCTATATAGTTACAAAATCTAAAATATAAATATTTTATGAGTTACTAAACTAATTTTTTTACAATATATGTAAAAATGGTTTCTCTACACTTTTAACTAGAAATCAAATATATTTTAGCTTAATAAAAAAATAGTTAGCTATGAAGGAAATGAAAATTTCATAATTATAATAATTTAATAGTAATTTGTGCATATGAAATACTATCTGTCTTAGATGAATTAGCAATTAATTTCTTTGCATGGTGATACAAAAGTTACTTTCTTGATACATCAAATATTAAAACATAAAAAAAGTAACTTTGCATTTTTCATCTGTTCACAAACATAGTATTGTCTTTGGAATCAATAGTTTTTTAAAGAAACTGATTTTCTTTACTAAGCTAACCTTCTTTCAACTTCTAAGTAAGGTTGTAGAAGAGTGTCTGGTGATTAATATGGCAGTTAAAATGTTAAAATCAGCTTGGTGAATTGCAAGATATAAGCATTTTTGTTTTTACAACTATATGTTTTCTTCTTTATTTATATAAAAAACATATTATATAGTTATAAAAACTAAAATACTTATATCTAATGATCTACTGAGCCAATTTTAATGTTTTAACTGCCATATTGATTATAAACTACTTTTCTACAACTTTACTTAGAAGTTGAAAAAAGGTTTACTTAGTAGAATTTTAAAAAGTATAATATTTTTTAGGGTGATCTTAATGCTTACCAGAGGTGAAATTCACTGGAGGTGCTGTATCTCAAAAACGTACTAAGTAAATGGGATCAGGTACTCTAAGTAAAAATGTTCACACAGGTTGAAAGATAAAAAATCAGGCACAAATCAGGTACCTGATTTGTGCATGATTTTTTATATTTCGACCTGTGTTAGAACCTCCAAAAACCTCACAAAAACTAAGATTAGGACCTTTTATTAGCTCTATGTTATTTTATATAAAAAAAAAATTCTTAATATCCTAACCCTAACCTTAACCTAACTCTAACAATTCTTAGGCCGGTAAATTTCACCCCCAGTGAAATTTAAATAAATTCTATTTTTTATAATTTTATTAATTGCTAATTCAGATAAAATCAGCACTATTGCTATATTACTACTATAATAAAAATTGGGGCAAATTTCATATAAGTTTTATAATAGAGTGGAATCTGGTTTCAGCCCAAAGCAAAGTCTTTCTTTTACTAAGTTAACCTTTCTCAAGCTCTAACAAAAGTTGTAGAGCTTATTTTTGTGGTTCTAATGGTGAAAAGATCATTAAAATTAGCTTTGTAGTTCTTGAGATATTGTAATTTTTCTTTTTTCACATATATAAACTTCTTTACAATACTGTACTGCAAAGAAGTTTTATATATGTAAAGAAAAAAAGTTACAATATCTCAAGAACTACAAGGCCAATTTTAATAATCTTTTCACTATTAAAATCGCAAAAATGAGCTCTACAACTTTTGTTAGAGCTTGAAGAAAAATTAACTTAGTAAAAGAAAAACTTTGCTTTGTACTGAAGCCAGATTCCACTCTATTATAAAACTCATATAAAATTTGCCCCAATTTTTACTATAAAAACAGTGTCAATTATAAATGAACTATCAATTAATAAAATTATAAAAAATATTATAATTCTCTAAATAATATAATAAATTAAAATTGAGTTCTAGACAAACAATGCTATACATTTATCTAGTATATAAAAGTTTTAATAATGTTAAACAGAGATACTATATTAGATATAAATTAATGGATTGAATTTACATTTTTGTATTACTGGTAGTATATTTATTAAAGGCTTTAAAAAATCAAAAAAATTAATTTTTAAAAAAATTTTTGTATGGAAAAATCTAATAATTGCTATAATATTACAAAAATTCTTTATTTTAATATTATTATTAATAAATTATTCTAAAAAAAAATTTTTTAACTTATAATTTTTGCAAAAGTTGATGTACTACCTGTAGTACACTATTGAAAATTATTATACTAGTAAATTTATCAATAAATTTTATAAACTAATATTTTAAATATATAAAAAATATTTACAATTTGTAGGTTAGGGTCTCGTAGCCTGTGGTCTAGGCGCTTAACTCTTTACAGACAAGGTCGATGGTTCAATTACAGCTGGTGGTAATTAATTTAATTAATTATCTCTGTAACCTTCAGGAGCTTTTAAATGCAGAACCCTGTGGCAGTAAGACTATGTAAAGTATTTATTTGGCTGATAAAGAATTCTTGAAAGGAGTTCCGAGCCATGGAGAAGATCAGGCACTGTGTGTGACATAGGTTACAGAAGATAATACTGCAGAAAGCTATACGGGTGAATCCATAATTGGCAAGGTAGCACCAACAGCCCTAAGGCGGCATTGGGATCTTGATTAGAAGGATGGCTGTATGCAATATATCTAGAAGTGGTGAAAGAAGCAGTGAATATAGTAAGAGGCTGTGGTAAGAGAATAGCTTTACCAAATATGGAACACCTCTGGCACAAGAAAACAAGGAAAACCGGCTAAAAGAACCTCCAAAAAGCATAGAAGCAAGCACTTCAGTGGTATGAAAATAAAGTCGGCTAGTGAGTAATATGTCGCATAACCTATATGGAAGTCATTGAAGCATAATGAAACATGGCAGAAGCGCAGGTCCTGGGTTACTGGCTTGTAACAGTAATTAAATGAGGTACTTAATTCTCATCCTAAGGATCTAGACTTCTGTAATACCATACTGATAGGGAGTACTATAAAAGGAGCGGTAGCCTAATTTGGTGGTATACGACATGAATACCTAGAACCAGTGTTGTTATTCGGACCAGACTGGACCGAACCGAACTCGGACCTGGACCTGACAAGCTCATTATGTCTAGCAGACAGTTATATTGCTAAGTGTAAATTTTTGATCTTTGATACAATATCAATATAGCAGATGTTTGGAATTTGGTCTTAGTTTACAGCTGTTTTCATTATTTCTGTGACACCTGATAAAAAATTAGCCGAATAATTTTTTGGCTGATCTGGTTAAGTTATTTTTTCGGCATAATAAATTCAATAAAAATTCTGTAATATATATGTAATTTAAAATCAGATGGATAATATCAAAAAATATAATACTTTCAAACTACATTTGCTAGCAAATTATTGAAAAAAATTTAGAAGGCTTATTAATTCGCAAAACACTTAGGTATTAGCACATCTTCTATAAACGCATTTTCAAAGATATGGTATTGAAAAACTTTCATCACTTTCAGGAAAACTACATTTTTTAAAACATGAATGATATAAATTATCTTAGTTTTAATGAAAGAAAAACCTGACCGGTACTTGTTTGAATTACAGATGGAACTTTGGTTGGGACGTAACATTAGTCTTACAACAAATTATTTTCAGAAGCTGGTATATTTTAACATGAATAATACATTTAATAAACGTTTTATATTATTAGCGAATTCTGATACATTTAAAGTTTTTGAAACCAGCCCATTTTTTTAATTCTGATTATTTTTTTATTTCATGCTTAGAACTTTATACTAACAAATTTCAACCTACTTACTTTTGCGCATTGTTTTTTTTACATACAAAACTATATACGGCAGCCCATTAAGTAATTATATAAATTTATATACAATTTGCACCTTCTATTCAAACTTTATTTCTTTATTTCTTTATTTATCATTATAATAATATAATAATAAAAATTTAATTTGAAATATTAAAAAAAAATAGAATTACGGTAATGGTAATTCGTTAAAAAGCATAATTATGTCCCATTTGGTATTAGGGTCAATCGCTGGGTGAATAATATCACCAACTGAACCAACTAATAAAGAAAATATTTCTTCATTTTCATCTTCATCTATACCTGCTGATTCTTCAATTTTCTCTGCTAATATTGCTACCCATACGTCCAAGAATTGGCTAAATTCTTCTTTCAAAGAATTTGATTCTACTGTCTCTTCATCATTAAAGTCTTCAATTGTGACATTATTTTCAATTTCTTCAGATTCAAGCTCACATCTTGCTTCACTTTCGGGTTCGATTTCATTAGAAAGTTCATTGTCTTCTTCACCAGTAGTCTCTTGTATGTTTTGAAAATTGGCAGAAATAAATTAGCAGAATTTGACTCTTGTCGATGGCTCTATGTAATCTCAGCTCTTAATTTAGACATATTAAAAGCTTTTTGCGACTAAAACAATAACAAAAAAAAAAACAACATTATTTTTTTAATCTTAGTCTTACTTTTAAAATTGTTTAAAAATGATGAGAAAATAAAAAAAAAAATGCAAAGCACAAACTGCTAGTCGATTTCTCCGATCCGTTTGCAAAAAACCATACAGCTCCAAAGGCGTTCGACTGCAGCTGCATTCACACAAATTCCATATAATCTGCAAGCCACTTTGCCTAATTTGCTTGTTGAAGCACCTACAAACTCCCAGTATTTCCAAATATCATCTTCAAAATGATTATACGTATTGTCATCAAAAGGGTAGATCTTCATTGAAAAATCATTGAATTCATGTAGAATGCAGGTAGGATTTTCCCCAGTCCAAGCTTTGTAATAGTAAATTAAATATTTGCCTAATTTTGCATAATTGATTATCATTCTATTTTTAAAATAGAATATGCAGTATTTTGGATATAACAAATATGATAAGATTAATAGAGGTTGTTCCCAGCTATTCCATCTCTTTTCTAGTCGAGTTAGAACTTTTTCAGCCAATTGTTGGTTAGTATTATTATTCCAAAGTTGAACCAAGTATGCAAAGCCATGTATGATATGAATTAATCTTGCATTATCACGTTGTAAAACATTTAATATTTTACAGTAAGGATACAGAATTTCAGTGATTCAATAATTTCAAAAATATTATGGTTAATTGTTGGGTTTTTTTCAATTCGTCATTGAGTTTGTACAAGTGGTGGTTAATAATTAAGGGTGAGGATCTAATAATATAAAATATTTTTTAAAAAATAGAGTCAACTATTTATCCATATATGAATTTATCTGGATATTCATTTACTATTGGTATCCAAATAATCCGACAAATATTTGGATAATTATCTGGATATTAATAGTAAATGGATAAACGGATAATGGATAGAAACTCTAAATAAAAAAAAGATAGTTACCTTTAATGCTTGCTGAGTTCGTAAAAGAGTAATTGCTACATTATAATAACTGTTTCATCTAGTTTCTCCCGAAACTGCTATGCTATAATAATTCTTGTAGGTTAATTTCTGTTGGTCACGCAACTTCGCAATAAAATATTTATTATTTGTGTTTCTAAAATACGTGGCTAGCCTAATTGCTTGGTCCATGGTTGTTTTCAATTCTGTTGATTCTTTAAAAATCTCACTGACACTTAAGTTAAGCTGATGAGTAAAGCACAGCAGGAAGACAAGATCCCTTTCAGTTAGTCTTAGTCTTTGTCTAATATTGTTTTTTAGGAAAAAAAAAATTTAAAGTATTTTAAGAATATATATCATTATTTAATAATTGCTGTTAAAAAAAAAAAAAAGAGTTAGCGAATCATTATTTTTCAATATACAGTATATAGTGCATGTCACCCTGGTAATATTGGAAAAGAAATAATCAGATACACAGACATCAATTTAGCCAGAGGTATTTTCATATTAAGTATATATGTTCAAAATTTTAAAAATTATTGCTATAACCAGAAATCGTTATATACAAATTTTGATATAAGACTTGTCATGATTAAATAAGTATTAAATACAGTATATCTTTTGAAAATAAATTGATCAGAACTGTTAACATATTAGCACCTGTAATTCATCTGTTAAATCTTTAACCAGAGTGACACATATACAGTATAATTAATAAGGTATACTCATGAATTGAAGAACTAGTATATTTATCTGGACATAAAACTATGAAATTATATAGTAAAAAAATAATTTTAATTAACTGTAAATAGCACTGCTCAATGCACCGCAGCTAGAAACTACACAAATCACATGACTTTGCGCAGAGTGTGATTTTGACAAATTACTGTATATCAATATTAGCTCAAATATATATATATATATATATTTATTTAAAAAATTTACTTTATATAAAAATATGAAATCATATGATGCAATTTAAAATAATTCCACCTTGTAGTTTGTGAAATTAAATCTCTTAGTTTTTAATAAATCCGAAGGTTCAATTTCACGCATAATTAGGTTTTAAATTTATTAAACTTAGAATACTAAAAAAAATTTAAAATAACAATACCTTGCAGCCTTGTATGGACCTGCACTATCAGTAACAACAGTGGAAACCTTTATTTCCATATCTTGCAACTCATCTATTATTTTTTTTGTTTTTTCCATTACTTTAATGTGGGATTCCCTTTCCAGGCTAATATCGGTTGCTTTCTATATGTGTAGTTTTCCCCCTGAAGTAACAACCATTATGCCCAATAATTGCTCAGCTTTTACATTTGTCCAACTGTCAAATGTCAAGGTAACACCAATATTATCCTGGAGAAGTTCTTCGTACATCGTTTTTTCTTTTTCGGATACAGCTGCCTTTAAAACTCATCCACCAAGAACTCGACGGTCCAGAAGTTTAATATGGGATTCAAAAACTAAAACAATTCTTTTACTTTTGGATTATTAACCTAATGAAAAGCAAACCTACAAAATACTGTTAATCTTAATAAAAGAATCTCAAACTTTTCTTTATTTTCTTCTGACAATAGTCAAACTGTGTAATTATCAAGAGGGCCATAGGAAGAAGAACATACAATGACTTTTTGAGCTGAAGAAGACTTTGAGGAATTGAATGCACTATCATAAGAGGAAGCTAAAAAAAAAATTACTATATTAGTTTTATAGAACAAAAATAAATAAATAAATAACCTTTTTTTATCAGGATGTTTTTCATTTGAAATTTCTTTATTAGATAAAGCGAAAATTTCTGCTTTTTCGTCTGGTGTTATTTTGTTCGCGAAATGTACACATTTTTGTAGATGCTAGATAATTCTATCTGTTTTGTTAGGATAACTATTTTTTTTGCCATCTTTTTCACCCAATACTTCAACACATGCCTTGCAATAGACTTTAATGTTACTTTTACTTAATCTCTCATTAGATTTAATAATATGTTTTTCCAATAAGGTTGATAATGGCATGTTGAACAAAGATTAATATGCATTGCTTATATTTAGCGTTAAATATATACCTGATTTTTATAATATAATACTCAGCTTATTTATTAATGAATATGATAACTTCTCTTATTCCAAAAAAAAAAAAAATTCCCACTCTTAAGATGAGAACAATACTAAGAAGATAAGAAAAATGCAAAAGCTAACATTCTTCTTTGGGTCGTCATTTATGCAAAAGTTATCATTTTTCTTTGAGTCATCATTCACGCAAAATCTAAATTCTTCTCTGGGCCGTCATTCACGCAAAAGCTACCATTTTTCTTTGGGTCATCATTCTTTAATCTTTTGACAAATTTAGGTGTCTTTGATGTCTTAAATTATTAATACATTTTATTTATGCGTCTATTCAAATTAGACCCACAATTATAGTAACATGTTAAATCTAATTATTCAACCATTGTTAAATAAAAATATAAAAGTGCTGATTGCTACTTAATAAAGACAATCGACTAGCATAATCCATTGTTGAAAGGTATCGGTATGGATGGATATAGAACATTCTTAAATTCGGAATTAAAATTATGAGTAGGAATAGACTTGATTTTTATTAACATTAATTCATTTATTTTTAAAAGCATATTCGGTATGTATTATGTGGATAATGCCCATTCATACATATAATAAATAGAATGTTACACTTCATTTTGCGATTGTTATGTTTGTTAATGATAGACATAGGTTACGTTCGCATGTTATTTTTCAAGATAAAGTGCTGTGATGATTAAAGGTTTTGTATTTTTTTTTTTTTTTAAGTGCTGATGGATTAAGCATATTTATGAAATTTTGTTTGTAATATATACTTTTCTCTGGTCAAAATAAAATTCAACAAAGTTGAATAGCGTAACTTGAATGCCATTTAGCTTTGTTAAATTTTTTATTTCCAACCAGTATATACTCCTATCTTCCACCGTCGCTTTGACTGCTTGTCACGAGAATATAACAGCATTATATATACTAATTTGTCTTACTGTATTCAGATGCTTGGTATGTATCGCAAATTAATTTAAAATTTTTGATTAGACAATTGTTTTCTTAAATTATTTGCTGTTTGCTTAATTGAATGAAACTCTTCAACTATACGTACCAATGTAAAGGATTTTAAAAGTATGAGTAACACAGCATTCAATCTTTAAGTTATGTAAAAGGTCAGTATTCTTTAACCCTCATTATAATGACCAAGCTTCATAATTTATTGCTTATCCAGTTCTTACAGACTGGCTATAAACTTCCTAACATGTATAAATTATATAAAAAAGAAAGCCATTAAAAAAGAATTATCAAGGAATTATTAGCCAAATATCGTTCAGCATTGGGGATCTCCAAATGAAAAACCGGATAAATTTATAAAATAAAAAAGATTGACTAATACCTTTCAAAGTGTTCAACCAAAAGTTCATCTTGGATTGTAATCTATACAAATGCCAGTTAGCTTTTTTGAAAGCATAGTTTTCCTAAAAGTAATTAAAGTTTCTTAGTATCTATATTTTTGAAAGTGTTTGACAAATAGCCTTTTTAAGTTTTTTTGACTATTTGTTAGCAAATGTGCATTGAAAGTATATCTTATCTTGCTATTATAATAGTTATGTCAAAATCTAGTCCACCAACGGCGTATGTAAAATAATATTTTCTGCTATATAATTAAATAGGTTTTTTTTTCATCTTTTGCGCAATTTATATCGATTTTAAATTATGTCGTACATACGTACATACATATCAAGTTTAAATCCTGAAATTTTTTAATTACAAATTCGGACATCGGACATGTTCGTGTCTGTAATATGTCCGAGTCCGAGATATATCACTCGAATAGCTCAAGCATCGATCTACTTGTCCGGATAGATTTCACTGGGTTTCTCCTTTTATGGTTAAATTGAGTTTCCAAAGTCTTTCGGCTTTATTTCTTAAAATGTCATTCCTAGATCAATGTATAATTAGCATATTGTAAATATAAAAATTTGATTGTCACTGTTGATCTTGATGAGTCATTTTGTTTCGGGTTTCTTATTTTGATAAGAAATTGTTCCTGATTGTTCCTTATCATTCTGGCGGTTCTATATATAAAGTTTCAGTTCAGGAGTTTATTACAAATGTAAGGTTGAATTTTTAGTTCAGTTAAGGTTGGTTTCTTTATTGATATAGCCACATGGGCTCTATCCTGTGGTTCGAAGATTACAAGATATTTTGTCTTGTAATGATCGTTAATAACTTTATTAGCTCTCTGGATCCAATCCTTAGTTTCTTGTAGTTTCTTTTGGAGTCTATCTACATAGTTTTCTATTCATAGAATCTCATGTTTAGTGACATATTCAGGTATTTTGTTGCTTAATTCAAAATCTTGATTTGTCATTTTATCAAGGGATTTTTTATATTCTTCTTCATCGTTTAGCAATTCAATTTCTTCATATAGTTGTTTTTTGGGGTTTCCTTCACATAATGCTTCTTCTTCATAATAAGCATTAATTTCTCCGAATATTAATTCTAAATTTTGTGCAAACATAGGGATTAGTTTTAATATCATCATTTCTTCAAATATATACCATTGCTATGGTGAGGCTTTGGTAGGTTTCATTTGCTGAGGTTCTATCTAGTCATCTACTAGATATATAAAAATGGTTCGTTTGATTTTGTATCTTGCTTCAAGTATTGAACAATTCTTCTGTGATGTCCATTCTAATCTACTTAGAGCAGTTTCTTCCCAAATGTTTATCAATTTTTCTTTTCATAGTTCCAAGTTGGTTTCTTCGAAACATTCTCTAAAAAATGCTTTTGTAGCTGTTTCGCATGGGTGACTATGAATATTTAGGTTTCCTTTCCCTCCTGGTCCTTGGAAGTGTTGCCAGTAAGGTCTTTCTGGATCAATTCTTTCTGATAGAGATATGTATGGTTTATCATTTATTTTCTTAAATAATATTCCTTGTACTAATCTTCTTGTGGGAAGATTAATATTCGAAATTCTCTGTGTTATCGTATAGAATTGGTTTTTGCAATTGTTACAATGGTCAAAGAATATTGTTTTGTTTTCATTGAATTCTTTAAAGAGGTAGTATGAATATAGAGTGTTACATCCTAGGCATCTCTGTGTCCAGTTATTTCTTAGTAAATTCATGATTTAGTTATTTTTGCAATTATTTGTTTCTCTATATCCTTTCCTAATTCTTCAAATAATTCCTTATAGGTTTTTAATTTGATCTGTTGTTCGGTTTCAGTTTTAGTTTTAAGGTAATTATTGATATCAGTTAGGTTTCGGTAGATATTAATTCGTTATTCCAAGAGTTCAACTAGTTTTTTCTGATTCTGTCATTAAAATGGTTGGTATTGTCCTGTGAGTAGAAGATCAACAGTAGGTATCCTGGTTTTGTATTTTTTGTAATTTAGTTTGCTTTCTGTTGCTAAGGTTTCTACTATTTTTCTTAATATGTTCAGGTATCTTGTTTGAACTTGTATTTTCTGACGTATTGCTTCATTTTCGTATAATATAGTTTCTTGTAAATTTCGTATTCTTTTAATTTCTTGAATTTCAAAATGTATTTCCTGGTTATGTGCCAACCACTTCTTATATTGTAAACTTTTGTAGGCGTTTGAAATTTCTAATTCTTGATTGAATTCAGTTCTAAATTTATGTTTTATTTTAGATAATTCGTATTTTTCCAATATCAATAGAAGGTGTTGAAATCCTGATTTCAATCCTTCAAATGTCAAGAGAGTTTCATAATGAGTTTTCTTGTCTTGCCAATCAAGATATATTTTCTGTAGTTTCTGTTTCTTGAGGTAAATAAATTTTTCTGTTAGGTATCTTAATATAATATAATAATTATTTTGTTGTTCAGTTAGTTTCATTAGTTTTTTTGATTTCTTCTAACTTGATCTTAAAGATTTCTTCAAGAGCTTCTAGTTTTCTTAAATTGTAGTTTCTTTATTTTCTTCTATAAAGGTTTGTATTTTGTTTTTATAAAAATCTGATGCTATATTCTGAGTTACTAATGCCTTATTTTTCTTAAATCTTTCTTTTTGAAGTTACTTCTCAAGTTCCAATAATTCAATTATAAATAAGAAATATAAGCTAGTATATGATTTTCCTTCTTTATGTAGTGGTAGGTATACTTTTTCCTGGTATGTTTTAATTATTTCGGTTGATAATCTGTATTCTGATGGGTTCTCTTTTATTTTTATTATTTTAGAATCTGGTAATTGGAAGTTTCTTTCTCTTGATGCTACTTGACTCTTCTTCGTAGTCTTTGTGTTACTTTACTTTCTTCATAGTGTTTAAATTTGTCTTTTTGATACATTTGTTTCAAGGATTTAAATAGAAGTTCGTGTTTATATTGTTCCTTTGTTTCAATATGTTTTTTTTCAGTTTTTGTGAGTAGTAATTCTTTCAAATTTTCTATTAAAATATCTTTTCGAAATATTTTAATTCTTTTTCTTTGTTCTTAATTGTTTCGGCTCCTTCTTCAATTAACAAATCTTCTGCTATAAATATAAGATTATATAATATATTTTTCAATGAATCTGGTACGTCATGTTTTAAGTTTACGTCTCGTATTTGTTCGAATTGTTGAACAGTTGCTGTTAAGGTTTCTGTATATCTTTTTTGTTCTTGTGGGTTTGTAGGTATTTGCGAATTGAATCTAACAAGAGTTTTAGTAAATTGTAGTAATTGTAATAAATTTCCTATTGTTGGGTTACTTGTAGGGTTACAACGAGATATTAAATTTGATAAAGTTACGTCTATATCAAATAATATTTTGTTAGTAGATCTTTGAAATAATATTTCTTGGTTAGGGTCAATTTCTTTTAAAAGAGTATTTTTAAGTACTGGTTGGAAGTTCCAAATATAATTAAATCCAAGGTTTTCTAAAGATCTTTCTATCCATTTTGGATAATTATCCTGGAATGCAAAGGTATGTTTCTTTTGTAGTTTCTTTTTATAAAAATAAATTATTGCTGTAAATTTAATGATTTCCAAAAAGTTTAATTTCAGAAGTTTTTGCATAATTCTGCCCCATGTTTTGAAGTTTTACTAAGTCTCTTAGTTACTATGGTTTCGTGGTATTATCATATCTAATATTTCGTTTATTCCTTGAATTTGTGATGTGATATTTTCTACAAAGCAAAATGGGTAGGTTTTATCAGTTACATAATCTAAGGTTTGTAATAGTGCCAGTATTCCAGTATTTAGGTTCGTTCTTCTGATTGCTGCTAAATCTAATGAGGCTAATTCAAATAGGTATAACAAATTTATGTTTGTTCTAATTTGTTTTAAGGCTTCTATTGCAGTATTTTCTTGTGCTCTTCTTTGGTTAATTAGAACGAGACTATCTTGTAGGTTATTGTTTACTATTACTGGTAGGTAAACTGTTCGCAATGCTTCAAGTTCTTGCTCAGTAACTGTTCTAGCAGTTATTGCTTCAATTGCTTTGGTAAATTGATTTCTTAATTTGTTTACAAATTGTGTGAGAGTTGTTTCTATTAGTCAAGTTGCTTGAGTAATGTTTCTAATGTGTATTCAATATTATTAGTTTCTAAATCCTTAAATTTGTTTTTGTATTGTAATGTCGATTAAGATGCAAAGTATCTCTTTAATATTGGTTAGCTAAGGTGTATTAGTTTGCAAATATTTTGCTATATGTTTGGCTACTAAAAGTAGTAATTTGTCTTGGTTCTTGAATGCTTCTTGAGTATTTTCAATTTGTTTCCTTAATGTTTCTTTTTGCATTCAATACTGATATTTCCTTGTATCGTATAATAGTATTAGCAATTATTGATATGGTTACTACAATTGCTGTAGATACTATAATTAGTTGAATTGTTTGGTTCAACTGCACAAATAGTTGCTTAGATGTTGCTAATGTTATATAAATATAAGTTATAGTAATATTAAATACTGATATTGAATGATCAGTTGTTACTAGTGACTTGAATCAGTTAAGCTATAATCGGTTAACCGACCGAACTGAATAAATTTCAGGTAACCGGTTGAGAAAATTCTTAATCGGTTGAATCAATATGGTATGTGGAAGTGTCAAATGACGTAGGAGAGAGTAAAGTTCCGACAAAACATAAATGAACATAATAGACAAGTAGGTCGAGACAAAAAATTAGAGTAATACTCCGAGAATTTTCGAAGGCAGTGTAGATGTTAATCTTAACCGGTTGAATAAAATAATTAGGTTCGGTTAACCGATTAAGAGAATTTTTCTCGGTTCAAATCACTAGTTGTTACTATTGTTATCTTCTGGTTCTCCACAGTTGAATTCTGGTTTCTTGTTCTTGAATCCTTTAAGTAGTCCTCTTTTGGATTGTGGTAAGTATATACACTCTATATTTTTTTTTGTACACCGTAAACACTTGTGGTCTGTATATTTTTTACAGCATTCTTTTTTAAGTTGACAATTTACACAGCCGTGAATAGTTTTTGGTTTATTTCTTTTGGTTTCTTTTTGATAATTATTAAATTGTTCAAACATTTGATGTTGTTTCTTTTGGTAGTTTATCCGGGTTTTTATAGCTTTTTCTTCGCTATGTTTCTTTAATATTTCACGTGTTTGGGTTTATCCGTAAGAGTTTATCCGAAGTATTAGTTAAGGTTTGATATTATTCTGAATAAGGTTATTGTTAAGA